TAACCTGTTGTGCCACCAGGGAGGGCCCTGGTTACTATATATTTACAGGTAACATTTTTGTTGAATTTAGGTGGGGCAAGGAGTGCTGCCCCCTAACAAAAGTACTGCCTTTATCAGCTACAGGATTAAGTTTGGTCAAGGCCTCTTTTACTGAGAAAGCAAAGAAAAAGCGATGCTTTACCTGCTGCTTGGCTCCCCTCATGGCCCTGAAAGCCAGGTGAGGTGTGATCATGAACTTGTAGGGGCTTTGATTTGCCCTGAGAAGTCTGGTGATAGGCCAGGGAAGTGCACCGCTGAATCACGAGGGTTGGGGTTTGACCAGGGGGTCCAGAGAAGGGCGATGAATCATGAAGTTTGAGGAAAGCAGCAGGAAACGGCCAAAGTGATGACAATGGAAAATTAAATTGAAAGTAAAAACAAAGGGAACAGCTGGACACAGCTGGACTAACTAAAGGACATGGAAAGATGTGAGGTTGTGGTAAAATTTCAAATTTCAGAGGTGGAAGATGTCAAGGGGGTAGACGAGGCCTATGGTGAAGCTATAAGTGTGAGTTGTGGGGAACTGAAGTGAGGTGACCATCACTGCATTAATGGAGGTAAAAGAATCCCGGGGGTACTGAAGTGATTGAATGGGCCATTCAGACAGTGAAGATAATCAGGATTGGAGCAGGGTCAGGTACCAAACTTTTCAGTAAGTCAGGAGTGCTATGACAGTCATAAGGAGGGATAGGCTGATAAGAGGGAACACAGAGGAGAGTGGCTTGAAAGGAATCATGTCCTGAGAGAGGGACTGGGAATCGATACTGAGGTCCATGGAGCATGAGAAAAGCAGTAATATTCTCTTGAGGAAGCTGCAAAAAAGCAAGTGCCCAGGGTAAGCCAAGTTTCAGACCAAAGATAGAGCAGGAAGTCACTTGGGAAGCAGAGGGGACTGCAGGAGCCACAGGAGGCTCTATCAGAAGGACAAAATACACAGCAGTGAGAGGACAAACATGAAGAAAGGCGAAGTGCTCAGCCTTTCTCACTTGATTTGTATCCACATGGTCTTCTATGTGTTTTAAATGTTTTTCTCCCTAATATTTTCCAAAACAAACCGAGGTATACTTAAAAAGCTTCAGTTTTAAACATCTGATGCCAGACAGAAGCCTGAAACCATTTTAAAAAGCTCACAAGGGCCCTCCTTGGTGGCACAACAGATTAAAGCACAGCACTATGAAGCTACCACAGCCACTGCAGCATGAGTTCGATCCCCAGCCAGGGAGCTGGCCCACGTGGCATGGCAGACCTCTCCACCCTCCTGCTGTTCCCCTCAGCAGTATATTTTAGTCCATCTGCCTGTTCTACTCCCCATTCTGTCTCTGGTGAATCCTCTCACCCCTTGCACATCTGGCCTGTACCCCAATTCTGTATTCATAAATAAATAAATTTAAAAAAAATAAGAAGCTCACAAGAGGGAAATTCTCAAATAATAGTTGAGAATCACAATACTGATAAACATTTGCTATTTTTTTGCATAATTATTCTTGGCTTGAATGAATGGAGAAAAGAAAATAGAGATTAAGTGCACAACCACAATTAAAAATAAGTATTGGTGTTGCTGACAGAGTACAAAGGAAACCTTTGTCACACAATTTATTCACTTCTTTAAAAAACAAAACAAAACACGGGCCCTCCCTGGTGGTGCAGCGGGTTATAGCACAGCACTAAGAAGCTAAAGCCACTTCCACATGAGTTCAATCCCCGCCTACCCCTGGAGGAGATCCACAAGGCGAGGCAGACCTCTCCTGACCCACACGCTGCTCCTCTCAGCAGTGTACTTTGGCGATCTGCCTGTTATGCTCCCCTCTCTGTCTCTGGCCTATACCCCAGTTCCACATGAATAAATAAATAAATCTTAAAAAAAAAAAAACACAAGTGGGTACATATACACCGTGGAATGTTACGCAGCAATCAAAAAGATAAACACGTGCCTTTTGCAGCAACATGGATGAAGCTGGAAGAGATTATGCTTAGTGAAATAAGCCATAAAGGAAAGGAAAAATACCATGTGGTTTCACTCATAGCACTAGTATAAAGGACCAGGGGAGAAAATAATAATAATAATGAACTACTATAAACCAGAGACATTTTATGCGGTAGAGTGGGGAATGGGATCAAAAATGGGGGGGAGGGAAGTGCACAGGACTATGGTGATGGCACATGGGTGATTTGGTGATGAGAAGCCCACGGGAATTACAACTGAGGTGGGAAAAGGCACAATGATGTAAAAATAAACTATTATATTATTTTAAAAAATTGTCAATTTGAAAAAAATAAAAAAACACAAGTGAACAGTCAATGCTGAGAAAAGCACAATGTGCTTGTATTATATCCAATCTTGATTGAGATAACAAACAAGGTTCAGGGCAGGCTCTTTCCCCTTGGAACCTGTTAGAATCTGCTAGTTGGTCCTATAGAGCTGAGTGAGGGTTAAGAAGTCGATGCTTTTGTCAACTCTAGAGTTGCCCTCCCTTAAGGTTGTACATGAGATAATACAAATAACACTTCGCTTTCAGGAGATTTAAAATATACCAGAAATAAATCTTGGGTCCAGACTAAGAGCGAGTGAAGCATCGAAAAGCAGTCCAAAGAAGCCAGCCGGAGAGCTAACTTCTAAAGAAAGTCATTTTGTTTGGGAAAATTCCAGAGGGGGACAAGTAGGACACTTTCTGTTTTAGCTTCACATGGATTTGAAGATAGCAGTTTTAAGGGAATGCCCCCAAGGACCAGCAAGACAGACCCTTCGTTTCAGATAAGTGGTTACAGACCATGTCACATCCTGAAATGTGGTGCAGATAATAATTATTGTTGGAAAAATCCAGAAATTGGAGATTCACACAGGAAGAGATAGGAATGAGTGGAAAAAGCCCAGAGTCTGGAGTCAGACAGAACAAATGTTTACAGCACTTATGTTTAGCTCAGTGTGAAGAAGGCTGGTGTCTACAACTTTCTCTAGGCCTCTCATAGAAACAAAAGATAGTTTCTGAGCAGGGGAAAATTAAGTTCGTTAAAACATATAATATGTTTGGCAGTAAGTCTGGCACCTGGTATACTTAAGAAAATGGTAGCAGATTTGGAGAACCACCCCCTATTCTTACCGAGAACTCCAACTGAGGAGATGGGTCGTGCTGACGCTGTTTTCCAGGACTCTCCAGAGGGAGTTGACCATTTATTTGCAAGCCGCTCAGCCAGGAAGGCGTATTGCAGGGCTCTGGCCTGTCCAGACTGCTGAAGGTACATAAACAGCTCCATCTCCTTCTTGACGCCCTCCTCATAGGGATACTGCACTGCAGCCTGGACTGACTGGACACAAGTCACCTGAGAAAGGCACCCACGGTGCTGCTTCCTCATCTTTGAAAGGGCCTCACTGAAAATAGAATTCATATTGGGCAAGTTCTGAATCTGTTTATTGTAGGTTCTACGGGATTCAAAGGGCTGGTCTAAAAGAAAGAAGAGATGATTAGATTTTTTGTAAATGTTACTCAACAAATATATAAGTATGTAACAACAGTAATAATACTATCTACAGTCATAACATGTTCAAATCCAAAGTATAAAAATTAAATACTTTCCATCAAGGTATTTAATGAAACACTAATACCAAAATCACTAATACCCATAAGACAGAATTTAATAAATTCAAAGCACTTTGAAATTACTTACCACTTAAAGTCATGTTTCTTTCATTCAAAGGCCAGAACAATTTTATATGATAGATTAAATATTAATGTCAGCGAATTTAAAGAAATAGATTGAGTTAATATTTTAGATTCAAAACAATCTTAACTCCATTCCTAACAGTAACACAAATTTTAAATATCAGAAGACACTATACCAAGATATTGGTATAGGGATAGACATGACATACAAATCAATGGCAGAAAGGTAAGAGTTCAGAAATAAATCCTTACAATTATGGCAACTAATTTTCTATTTTTTTTAAAGTAGCATTGTATTATAACTTGTATATTTCAGGTGCTCTTCACTGAAGATAAACATGAGCATAAACAACATTAAGTTCACTACTAAAAATCTAATTGATCAGAATATGTCCCTGGAAGATAACGACAGAGGAGTTTCCTTGCTTCACTTCCGAGAGGAACAACTAAGTCATCCAGAGGGACATTACAACAAGAGAGTTCCACAGCTCACGATGAAACTGAAGCACCTGTGGACATCAGAGATCACGCAGATTGCACCAGAGGATACAAAAGAGATAGATCCACGCTTCACTGAACAGTGGATCGGTGGAGAGAATTCACTGAACAGTGGGTAGGTGGAGAGAAACACTTGGAGCCTGTGGGCTGGGGAAGGAGACACAGACTGCAAGACTGCTGACTCAACAGGGACCCTGAGGAGGGGAGAGTAGAAATGCATGCAGGCATGCACCCTTGAAAGAGGAAACTCTCATACAGGGGAGTGCGGTACTCTGCATAGGCCATGGCATTGGCATGGAAAAAGACCATGCTCCTTGGGTTTGGTACTGACACTATATAGACTGTCAAGTCTCAGATGTAATCTTCCAAAAGAGGAATATTGGCAGTGGCATAAATACAACCAGACACAGCCCCTCCCTGTGCACATTCTAAGAGAAGCAGGGCCACTCCAGATTATTCCCCCAAACTGCTGACTCAGCAAAAGCAAGACCCCCCCCCCCCCGCCCCCAGTGCCTATGTAAGTCAACAAAGGCTAAAAAAATCAAAACAAAACAAGCCACAGCACTACCTGCAGGAAAAGAAAGGAATTTCAACTCGAAGTTTACTGCTATAGGTACACATTTTTAAATAGGCAAAGGAGAAAATGGTGAAATGAAAAAATATAACACATTAAAGGGCTAAAGGGATTATGATAGCACAATAAGAGAACAACTTTCCAGACTCCAAACACGAAGACATAGGATATTAAATCAGCCTATCAGATAGAGAGTTCAAAATTGCTATAATAAAGGAACTCAGAGAGTCAGAAGAAAACTTACAAGGGCAAGTCAAAATGATACAAGAAAACTCGGAAAGCTAATCAGAGAGATAAAAGCAAATCCAATAAAGTAAATTAGTGTGCTAAGAAATAACATTAAAGAACAGAAGAAGAATGAATGGAGGTATCATGTGCTCAGATTTCAAACTATAATACAAAACTGTAGGGATTAAAACAGCATGGTTTGGAATAAAAATACAAACCAGCGGCAGATGTTTGGCTTAAAAAGATGTGATATATATATACACAATAGACTCTGCTACAAAGACAAAAAGAAAATTTTACTATGTTTGACAACATGAATGGAACTGGAGGGGATTAAGCTAAGCAAGGTAAGTCAGAAGAAGAAAGACAAACACCAAATGATTTCACTCATATGTGGCATATAAAGAAACAGAGTAAATGAACAGACAAAACTAAACCCAAAAAAACCTTAGTAATCTGACTGCAGTACTGAGACTACCATAAAGAGAGGGTGGGGGGGGAAGGAAAGCAATGTGGGGAAGGGGCCCAGTAGATTATAGTGGTGGATTACAAATGTGTTGGTGGTTGGTGTGGAATCGTCATGTCCACCTGAAGAGATGTGAAATCATGCCCTAAATCAGTGGTTTACAGTATTTTAAACAAAGATTACCTCAATAAAAAAAAAGCCAGTTTTATCTTTCACTGTATAATTGAGGCCTTTTTTACCTCATTTCCCACCTTTTACCTCTCTGCTTCAGTTGACTAATGGGTCTTATAAATGAAAGCTTATTTTTGTTTTAGTTAGTTCATCTGTTTGTTTTCTCTATATACCATATATGTGTGTGTTCATACAATGTTTGTCATTCTTTGTCTGACTGACTTCACTGTGCATAAATGGCAACTTGCAATACAGCTGCCAAAACAATTCAACAAGAGAAAGGAGAGCTTTTCAGAAGGGGGCCCGCACAAGGGACTGCGGTGGTGATGCAGATGAATTGGAAAATATATGGGGATTATATCAGAGAGGAGAAAGCATACATTGTACAAAAATAACAATGTAAAACAGAACTAAGTAACTAAATTTCTTTAAAAAAGAGTTTTTTCAGCAAATGATGCTGAATAACTGGGACATCCACGTGCAAAATAAATAAATAAACTTAGATCTTTACCTAACACTATATATAAAAATTAAATACCCTCCCTGCTGGCACAATGGGTTAGGATGCAGCACTGCAAGCTAGCCGCTGCCGCCTCAGTGCAAGTTCTATCCCGGCCCCGGAGCTGATTCTAATGGTGTGGCCGACCTCTCCTGACCCGCCCTCTGCTCCCCTCAGCAGTGTACTTCAGCAATCTGCCTGTACTGCTCCTGTCTGTCTCTGCTGAATCCTCTCGCCACCCCTGCATCTCTGGCTTGTACCCCAATTCTGTATGCATAAATAAATAAGTCTTTAAAAAAATTAAATCAAGATGGACCATAAATCTAAATCAAAGAGCTAAAAGCTATAAAAATTTCCAGAAGACAGCACTGACAAAAATCTATGAAACCTTGCACTGGGAAAAATTTCCCTAACACAATCCATAAAAAAAAAAAAATCAGTTAAATTTCATCAAAATTAAAGACTTTTGTACTTTAAAGAGCACCATTTAAAAAAGGAAATGTAAGGCATACTGGGGGAAAAACATTGTAAGCAGAATACTACCTCCACAATATTTGCTTGTGGCAACAGGATTCTTCAGAAGTGATTAAGGCTGAAGATTTTTAACTACGGAGATTTCTTAATTGTATGGGTCAGCCCAATCTAATCACCTGGGAACTTGAAAGGGGAAAACCTTGTAAGAATGGCAACAGGAAAGCCATGTTAAAACACCTTCAAAACACAAGAAATCTATAATGAGTCTGTGTCAGAGAAAGGTCAAGGTGGAAAATATTTTATTATTTCAGCAATATAGAGATGAAAAGTTTCACTGAAGATAAACTTTAATGATGAAGAAAAAAATAGAAGAAGCAGAATGAGGAAGAAAGTTTTTTTTAAGATTTATTTATTTATCCATACAAGAAATGGGGAACAGGCCAGAGGTAGTGGGGGAGAGGATTCACCAGAAAGAGTGGGGAGCAAAACAGCAGATGTACTGAAATATACTGCTGAGGGGAGCAGCGGGCCAGACAGGAGAGGTCTGCTGTGCCATGTGGGTCAGCTCCCTGGCTGGGGATCGAACTCATACTGCAGTGGCTGCCGATAGCTTTATTGTGCTGCGCTTTTAACCCCTTGTGCCATCAGGGAGGGCCAGGAAGAAAATTATTTTACTGATGCCAACAGCTAGGATTCTTGCAAGAAAAAGGATGAAGCCAATGAAGAAAAAAGAGAAATCTGTTGAATAAAATGGAATCAGCAGGGTGTCCCCTCTGTGCCAGCCTGGTATTTGGACTGGCACCTCTCTGGTATGTGCGGGACTCTGAGACAAAGTCATCGGAAGCCTGAACAGGCCAGATCCAGCTGATCAGTCATTTGGTGAGTTAAGAGTAAAGCCCTGCCTCTTCAGTCTTTAAAATTGCTATGTATGGTCTGTTTGCAGCTTGGAGCTTGTATTTTTAAAAAGATGTTGAGAATCACAGTTGTCACAAACTGAGTACTTACTTATGAAAATATACATTACATCATTGCTTTGGGTGGGAAGAAAAAGGCCTAGCACGAGGAGTTAAAAGGAGTATTAGTCTTTGAAAACACCTTTTGATAGAATAAATAAATATTTAAAAATTATACCATTTGCCCATTTTTCCCCCCACATCTCACAAAATGAATCCTCAAACTAGTTTTGCTAGATATGTAAAATTTCTTATCTGAGCCATTAAAAAGGTAATAAAATATAGGGGGGAAAAGTAGATCCTTGCAAATATATATTCATTTGTGCACTGAGAGTTTACTGTTATTCACACAATCATCACCTTTTTATTGCTAGTTGATTCCAAATTATTTTGATATGTAAATTATAAGAAAACTTTTTATGGTAGTTTTTTAACACCATGTATTATGATATAAAAATTGTTGTAGCATCTGTTATAATCTTAATTGATGGTAAATATCAACACTGTTTTATATATGATAAAATTGTAAATAATAACATGGTTAAGGCAAATCTGAAAAGTCAGATATAATTCTTTATCAATAGTTGTGCTGTGTTTTAACTCATTGTGCCACCAGGGACGGCCCTGTGCCCAAGTTTTATCTACTGTTGTAGATATATTTTATCTTTCTGTGCATGAACCATACCTCTCAATCATATGCAGTGTTATAAACCAATGTTACATCAATGAAAATAAATAAATAAAATATGATCTTCCTAAAATACAAATAAAGCTCACAAACTAATTTACCAAGAAACTACAAGAGCTTTAGGAAGACAACTAAAACATTTTTATTGAAAAACACAAAATGAAGAGAACCAGACCCCATGTTCCTAGATATAAATATTTAATAACCTAAAAACATAAATATTGTCCACA